TGCAACCTAGACCATACCTACATAGTAAAGATATTCCAAGGGTAAACACCAGAACTACCAGCTCTATTCACCACATAAGCAAGTAGCTCCATTGAAGCCAATTGAACAACTCCTGCGAGAAAAGTTACACAAGAATTGGTTAGAGGAACAAATTGTTCATTAATAGGCTGACACTCTAGCATCAGTGACAATGGCAAGGTATGTTATATTAATTAAAAAATAAAAAAGTACTAAATCAGATTTTCTGTACTGGTGTCCCTTGATGTGTGCAGTTATCTGTTTCACAAACCTAAATGCATCTTTTCCATGCATCCTGCCAGTCTGAATTGTTCTTCTATTTTGAGGTACCTAGCCTTAATGACTGGTTTTTAACATTTGGCCTTTGAGATAGTCATAGAGTATTTAGTTAAAATAATAGTTTATCTAATGTTCGCTTTAGCTAAGTTTATGAATTGACTGGCTGTTCTTACCAAAACAGTTTTTCTTATTATTTCAACATTACAAAGTAATCGTCTAATAAAATGTGTGTTTAAAAACTATGAGTGTTTCAGTACTACAGCATGTGAAATAAATTTACTTCTAAAATCTATGGAGGACTACAGATCTTCACCCCAGGTACCAGCAGTAATATCTCAAGTCAGTTAGCCAGGCTAGATGAAAGTAAGCTAAAAGTTAAGCACAATTTTGAGTACATTGCTAATTCTTCTCTGCCATAACAATGTTCATCAGTTACAATACACTGGGATCAGATACAGCTGCTAGGAATCAAATTCTTCCATAGCGACTGAACTTATAAAGATCTTTCAGTGCTGAGTTCTGGTAACTTGAGTTTAATCAAAGCCTGAACTTCTTGCAGTATGGTGACTGTGTACAGTAACTTGCAAGACAGCTATATTTATAAGTGTAATTAAAAAGCAAATTGGCCAACATTAAAACTTATGACTATTTCCAAATAAAGATTTTTTTCCCATTGCAAAATTTTACTACGTAGTTTATTTTTTAAAGTCACAGAATGAACACAACCATCATCCAAAGTTCATCTCTGATTATTGCTCTCAAAGAACATAATGTCTACTGCAGATATGTCTGGAAATAAACTGAATCTCACCAGGGAATAGGACAGTAATTAGAGATATCATTCCTATAAGCATAATTAATTTAAAACATATCTCGATCCATATTTTCCATTTTCTCTCCAAATAAAAAAAAGAAACACTACTGAAATACTTCTGGCTTTGTTTGAAAACCCAAGACTGAACATTAAAGACTATTTTTGGAATCAATAAAAATTAGCTTTAAAATCATATTTTGATATATTTGATCTGCCAAAAATATTTGAATGAAAGTTGTACCATGTCCATAATTATCAAAATAAGTCACTTTCATGCATTAGTCAAATCAGAAGGAAACAGCTATGGCTGGTGTAAGTTATAATACACCATTTCTCATTGTGAAACCAAGCCTAAAAACAGAATTCAGACTAGGTAAGTCACATTTGCTCTGTTATTGGCATTTGGGTTTGAGGGATGCTAATGAATTCCAATAAATACATATGTTGTGTTCCAGCAGTGGGGAGCCTTGGAACCTTAGGTACGTATTTGCAATTTTTCAGTCTACATATGCATTTTTTTACTGGTTTGGACTCCTGAAAATGATGGCTATCTTTCCTCTTTTCTGAAAGATGTTCTGAACCACAAGCCAGTGGATTACATTTGTTCACAGAGTGCCAGAATAAGAGCAACACAACTGCAATGGCTGTGGTGTTCTCAGAGTACCCTGCCATGCACAGTTCTCATTTTGAGGACACTGAGACTGGAGAGAACACTCAGCCACAATATTATTGTTACACATTTACATAGCTCATTACATCAAGAAAGATAACAAAGGCATTTTACACGTACTGGACACATACTACCACTGAAATATTGCCTATCTTGAGAGTAGTGAACAAATATTACATGGCAGCTAGCAAACTCACTGGTGAATGCAGTGTTTTGGCTATAACAGCAGCATTAACCATTTACTTGTGTGAGAAAAATAAAAGATGACAAACTCAATCTTCCTGTAACATTCAGTCAGAATTCAAAAAGCACAGCAAATCAACCTACTGTAAACCTATCAATCTACTGTAAAAAACCCAACATTTGAGTCACTGTTGCAGGAATACAACCCTTTTGCTCTTGGTAAGCCAAGGGTCTACAAACATTTTGTGATACTTGCTTTGGTTCAGAAAGCGAGAAATAAGAAGAAAATAAACAGACTTCAAATGATCCACACAACTTCTGCCTGGTGAAAACCTAATTATTTGTACAATCACTTTCATTGTCCCATTCCCTCCTCAAGGTTTCCTAGATGTTATCCATAACGAAGATCTATCTATGTTTGGGAGATAGTATAGGTTTGGTCTTGAATCACAGAAGTTAATTATCTGCATTTTTATAACAGGATAATATTGAAAAAGCCTAATTCTAGGTCTACTGAACCTAGCATCTGTATCAAATGAGTAGTACCCTGAGAAGCCTACACAAGATAGCAAGTAACAACTCACTTAAAGCAACTAGATAAGTGGGTAACAAAACCAATAAAATTGAAAAGTTATCAGAAAAACTGTACAAAATGCAATGAGGACTACAGAAAGAAGAATTTCAGAGAGCATAAACCAAGTCACAGTTTTTGCAGATTTTATGGACAGACAGGACAGGTATGGGCTATGTAGTTCCTACAGGTAGGGATCTTAGAATTACATGTACAGAAAAGAAGAAGCATGTGAACTCTGAATAGGCACAACAATTTGCATCAAAGATATGAAACTGCCACTCAGTTTCAACAGGTTTCTCTATCAATGCTGCAATGAAATAAAACTGATTTTTAAAAAAAAAACCACCCCATCCCCTCTCCCCTGAGGTGCATAGGGACATAAAATTATGGCACAAAACCTCTTTGGATTTCAATGTAGGGGAGGAATACATGTATACATATATACATACATATATATGCACATATATACATATATATATACACATATATATACACAAATGTGCACACATGCACATATATATACAATCATAGAATCATTATAGCTGAAAAAGACCTCCAAGATTATTGAGTCCTTTGACCAATCACCACCTGATACTAGCAGCTACACAATTTTAATCACTTTTCTCTACAACAAAATCCTAAATTATTGAATCCTTTACTAATCATGCAACTCTATGGATAAAGCACTGGAGTACAGCTGGCAAAGCCTGACTTGTCTCTAACACAGACTCTGACCAAGGCATCTCACCTTTCTTCACCTCAGCACATCTGCATGCAAAAAGGGCTATGTAAACCTGGTGTTAGTTGCTTGGAATAGTTACTGTTACTTGGAATCTCTCAAAATTTCTCAAAGCTTTCATTCAACAAAATGGCAGCTTCTTCACTGAATGATCTCTATAAAATTTAAAAGAGCTCAAGTCTCAAGACTAACCCAGGAAGCAAAGGACTGTATTAACTCTAGTAGAGACTAAGAATTGACCTTGTGCGAGTTTCTCCTGGAGACTCACAGTGAAAGGTGATATTCTTCTTATCTTGCACATTTTCAAACATGCCTTTTTATGACAGGAAATGAGCTATATGAAATCAGCAGCAGTAACTCCTTTTTCAAATTGTGTCATTGAGACATAAACCCTGGGTCTCCTCCAATCTCACATTTTTCCATTCTCATGGTTATTCTCCCTTCTTAATTTCACTGACTTTTTTTTTCCTTTAACTCTTTCTGCCACAGAAAGCAAAAGCATTTCCTAGATGCCAGAAAAACAGAAGTTATGAGATATTCTAGACTGTGGTCAAACATTGTTTTTGAAATGGAAAGCACAGTCAATTTTAACCTGGCCAGTATATGCTTAAAAATCTTCAAAACTGACTTTAAAAAGACTTTAAATCTATAACTCATATAAAATTTATATATTATATGAAGTAGCTTTATAATCCATAACGCAACTATACACACAACTATATAATCTATAATAAGAATTGCATGGCTAGTTTTTGGCCCAGGTTTGTAAATCCATTTTACAGCCTGATGACTTGCAGCGATATGTCCTTTTGCAGCACACTGGACCTGTGACCTCCAGTCCCAACACAGCCGGCTAGCAGAGCCTGCAGCACACGTGCTGCTAAACAGTGTGAGTCAGACTGCTGGATGTTTGCCATGGGAAGCAAAATAGTGTTGGACATGTTCCCATGTGTGCATTTGAGATTTACTTCCCTCAAAGACAGTCCCTCACCTTGACTGTGGTCTTTTAAGTTTATGGATTGGTAGCAGGGAACTGAGGAATTAAAACACTTGAAGTTCCTTCCCCTTCATATTTACCACACAAGATGGCTGCTGCCAACTATCAGGATAAGCCCACTTTTACCCTGCAACAGTGTCTGGGGTAAAAGAACTGTATCCTATCAGAGACAGTGGGAAGGCTGTCTTTTAACAGGTCCAGGTGCTTCTTCCTCTGGTAACTAACTGATCTGGAACTCCTTGTGTGAGGGATGTGAAGAATTTACTGCTGGAAACTCCTCTCCCCAGGGCATCTACCTCTGGAAAACAGTAGCTACCATCTGATTTTTCCTAGACATGCACCCAATTTTTTTGCTGGTCAAGCAAAGTTGACACAATTTTCAGGAAATCCTGCTGAAATCAGTGAGCCTCAGTCATCAGAAAACCATACAAATGCGAAGTACCTAAGAGTAATATAACGGCAGATTTCTAAGAGGGACACTCTGTTGTCCCGAAATGGTATCAAAGGTTTCAACTTTTAATAACCAGGCCCTAAAAACCTCCACTTTTTCACTTCTTCTGTACATCATGAATCCCTCCCTGTCCCTCATGAAAGCTTGTATATGAAATTGTTTTTACTGACTAATTATTCAGTTCCTAAAGCAAATAGATGTTAAAAATACAAGGATAAATTTAAGCTTTTTTTCTGGGACTAGCTTTGGTACTTATGTTGCATCTGTTGCCTTACCTTCCATAAGAGCACAGCAAGCAATAGGAAGATGAGAATTCCCACCAGCAAACTGATGGCAATGATCCATCCGACAACATATCCACGAGGCTCCAGATTGTGCAAAGCCTCAAAGACCACCTACAAAGCAATTAGAAAAAGATATTTTTATGACTAGAAGTTGTATTGTTTTCTCTTGTACTCATCTTATGAGACACTGCACCATGGCCTCCCTGATCATATTTCATCTGTCAAACAAATATGGAATGCATTTAGTGCTTTCCATCTATTTTTCACAAGGGATTTAAAGCTTTCAAGTGGACTTTGAGTAGCCATGTTTTACATCCAAAGAATATCAGCTTCCACTCCAAAATAACACCTACCCTGTCAATCCCCAAGCCCAGACACTGAGCTTGTTTTGGTGCTGGGCCACCAAGGTGCACAAAGTTTTGCATGAAAAACTCCATCCTTTGGATTGGCAGGGATTGCTATGACATCTTGCACAGTTTGTCTTACTCACCACGCTCCGGCCCTGCCAAATACCCTGATGCTTCACATGAAATGCTTGTAATGAGTTGGCTAACTTTTTTTTCACAAAAAATTTGGACAACTCATACATTCCTATTAAATACAAATCATTCCTGCTCTGCTTCACAGGACACATTGTGTGAAAGAGGCAAGGGCATGTGCAGTCATAGGTTCTTCTGGGAATGCAGATAGTTCTCCTCTCCCTCTCCCCTCCCTCTCCCCTCTCCCCTCCCTCTCCCCTCTCCTCTCCCTCTCCCCTCCCTCTCCCCTCCCCTCTCTTCTCCCTCTCCCTCTCTTCTCCCTCTCTTCCCCTCCTCCCCTCCTCCTCCCTCCTCCTCCCTCTCCCTCCTCCTCTCCTCTCCTCTCCTCTCCTCCCTCTCCTCTCATCCTCTCCCTCCTCTCCTCTCCTGCTCTCTCCTCTCTCTCCTCTCCTCTCCTCTCCTTCCTCTCCTCTCCGAACCTCTCCGAACCTCTCCGAACCTCCTCCTCTCCTCTCCGAACCTCTCCTCTCCTCTCCTCCCCTGTCCCCTCCCTCCCTCTCCCCTCCCCCTCCCTACCCTCCCCTCCCCTCCCTCCCCTCCCCTCCCCCCCTCCCCTCCCCTCCCCTCTCCCCTCTCCTCCCCCGGCCCCTGTCCCTCCCTTTCCCCTCCCCTCCCTCCCCTCCCCTCTCCTCCCCTCCTCTTCTCTCCCCTCCCCTCTTCTTCTCTCCTCTCGTATGTATGGCAGAGAAATACAGCCAACAGAGATCCTTCCTTTACCATCTGTCTTAAGAAGAAAATGGGAGCAAATTATATTATTCCTATACCCTATGTGAATTTTCAGTCTCTTATTTCAATCAAAACCAGTGCCTCAGTGGAAAACTCAAAAACAGCTCTCCTCAGTGAGGGCTATTTCTATGTTAAAGTTTGCAATTTAATATAGAACAAATGCAGAGAGGCAGTAGGGACTTTTTAGAGGGAATACATTTGGTTAGTCTGGCTTTGTTTTACAAAATGAAGTAGTTAGTTTTTCTTCCTCCTCCACAAACCACTTTCATCATCTTTGCTTAAAAATGTCAAAACTATTTTGTAGACATGAACTGTTAAATTAAAAAAAAAATTATTTGCTAAAAGTGAGTGAAAATCCAGGAGTTGCAGTCACATACAATTACACAATCCCAAGATACACATCTTTAAGAGGCTAATGAAAGACCCATTAGATACATTCACTCACTGCTGACCCTGTTCAAACAGTTTCATTTATGAGACAGCCCAGGGAATGCAATACCATGCAACTTATATGAATGTTGAAGGTGGGCATTCAGGAAAAGGCTGCAAAAGGAAGGAGATGGCAGCACTGGTACAGGAGTCAAAGAGGCCCTCAGTTCTCCAACCCTGCCCGTTTCCAAGCCTCAGAGAAAGCCATGGGGATCCTGAGTGAGTGCAGGCAACAGCCCTGCTTTGAGTGGTAGACAGGATAGGACAGCCTCCCGAGATCCCACTAATGAACATTTCTGTTTCTGTAAGCATCCTCAGCAAACAGACACAAAAATTACAGCTACAGATGAGAGAAAGCGGGTGAGAAGGGCTATATTTTGTCAAGGTGTTCCCATAAAGAAATAGTCAGAGATCCTTCACCTCAGTTTCACAGGTTAATGCTGATTAAGACCAGTTTTTCTGGAGGAGGAATTTGAACATTAGCTGATTTACACACACTGCTTTTTTCTATCAGTGAGATGTTATCAGGCATTTCACAGAATCACAGAATGGGTAAAGTTGGAAGGGACCAAAGTGGGTCATCTGGTCCAACCTCCCTGCTCAAGCAGGGTCATCCCAGACCACATTGTACACAATTACATCCAGATGGTACTGGAATCTCTCCAGTGAGGGACACTCCACAACCTCTCTGGGCAATCTGTTCCAGTGCTCAGTTACCTGCATAGTAAAGAACTTCTTCCTCAGATTCAAGTGGAACTTGCTGTGCACCAGTTTCTGCCCATTGCCTCCTGTCCCATTGTTCTGCACCACCAAGCAGAACCTGGTCCATTCCCTTGACATCCTCCCTTCAGATACTTACAGACACTGATGAAGTCCTCTTTCAGTCATCTCTTCTTGAGACTAAATAGGCCCAGTTCCCTCAGCCTACACTCATAAGAGAGATGCTCCAGTGCCTTAATCGTCTTCACTGCCCTTCACTGCAACTGCCCCAGGAGCTCCACATCTCTGTTGCACTACAGAGCCCAGAAGTGGACATTAAACCAAATGTGGCCTCACCTGGGCTGAGTAGATGGCCAGGATCACCTCCCTCGCGATCTGACAATTAGGAAAACCTAATGCACCCCAAGATACCACTGACCACAAGGAAACAGTGCTGGCTCATGGACAGCTTGTTGTCCACCAGGACTCCCAGGTCCTTCTAAGCAGAGCTGTTTTCCAGCAGGTCAGCTGTCAGACTGTACTGTTGCATAAGGTTATTCCTCCCCAGGTGCAGGACCCTGCATTTACCTTTTTTGAAATTCAGACAGTTCTTCTCTGCCCATCTCTCCAACCCATTAAGGTTCTTTTGAAGGGCTGTGCAACCCTCTGGGGTATCGTTCACTTCTTCCAGTGAACCTGCTGAGGAGGTATCTGTCCCTTCATCCAAGTCACTGATGAGCAAGTTAAACAATACTGGACCCAGTACTGAACTTCAGGGACCCCACTAGTGACAGACCTCCAACTAGACCTTATGCCACAGATTATGACCCTCTGGGATCTGCTCTTCAGCAAGTTCTTAATTCACCTCACTGTCTACTCATCCAGTCCACACTTCCTGAGTTTGCCTATGAGGATGTTGTGAGAGACAAGTGTCAAAAGCCTTGCTAAGTCAATGCAGACAATATCCTCTTCTCTCCCCTCATCCATCCAGGTAGTTGTCTCATTGTAGAAGGCAATCAGGTTGGTCAAGCATGATTTACCTTTAGTGAATCCATGCTGACTACTCCTGATCACCTTCTTTTCCTTCATGTGGATAGAGATGGCCTCCAGAATGAGGTGCTCCATCATCTTTCCAGGAACTGAGGTGAGTCTAGCTGGCTGGTAGTTCCCTGGGTCCTCCTTCTTGCCCTTTTGGAAGACCAGGGTGACATTTGCTTTTTTCCAGTCCTCAGGCACCTCTCCTGATGGCCACAACCTTTCAAAGATGATCGTGAGCAGCCTTGCTATGGTGTCATGACAACGACACTTGAAAATATAGCAAATGGACACAAACTAAGCTCTACATATACAGCATTATCCAAAAATATTCCCATAACTAGTATCACAATGCTCAAAATAGTTTTTGAACATGGACCAGTTCTTAAACCAAAAATAAGAATAATTTTAGCATTTCAGATATTAGCAAAAGCCTTTGTTTTCAGATATTAGCACAAAGCCTTTGTTTTCAGATATTAGCACCAAGACATTTTGCAGAACTGAGAGTTTCCTAAGCAGCAAAGTCTCCCTCACAGACAGTGTAAGGGAAATACAGGAGAGAGAGATCAAACTCAAACCTTGTGCCTTCCTCCTATTTCTGATGCAGCTTGGAAAGATGATCTGATGTGGCAGTCCATTTTTCACACACACTAAGGTTAGAATCCATCTTATGGACACGAGTCTGATGACTATTTCTTAGATGACAAGGCTTTAATGTTATTTTCCTAACTCTAAAAAAACCCTGAAACTCCTTACATTTTAAGTAACTTCAGTGAAGAGACCTTTCAAACAGTGCCTGGATGCAAAGTGAGGTGGTGCCTTCTCTCCACTACTCAGAGAGTAAATGTTAACGTATCACAACCTCCAGCAAAATAGACCTGTACCCGCTGTATGATGTCAAAAGACAGAGCCAGGAATAGCTGCAAAGATAAAATCATACATAATCTCTGCATCAAGAGCTCCACATTTTAGGTTTGAAGCACACTGGCTAGAATAGCTTGGCTGTAGCTTTTGCAGTCACAGCTTGAGCTACAAGGGTAGAACAACAACAGCTTCTTATCTATCTGGTTTCTTATAGCAGTCTAGAATCAACATACATGCATTAAAAGAACCCATTTATGGTTTGGAGAGGAACAGGGATGTTGTGCATACTAATGTCCCTAGCTGTCTTAAGCCCTCAAAATCTGACTGCACTAATACTCAGTCACTGCAGTAAGTTTTGGTGAGAAAGGTACCAACAACAAAAAACCCAAGCCAAACCCCAGTCAAATCAGACTGCGCAGACAGCATATATTGCATCTCTGGAGTATCAGAAGGAAGCCAGTACAGTCAGCAGTGGGAGGCCAGGGAAGCAAGTCATCCCTAGTGGGAAGGTTGGAGGCAGAGGGTGATGGTACTAAAGAGAAGCATGTCATCCACCACCCGCCACTTGACCTGCTGGCCATTGTGCAGTCTCTGAAAGCTGATCTTGAGCACATTTTGAATTCCTCATCTTGTCCACCCCAGCAGCAAAGCCCCTACAGAGTGGCCAACATGTTGGAGAACACAAGGCAGTTCCCAGCTCAAGGCAGTCCTGACCTATAGAGAAGACAGGAGTAATAAGAGTAACTGATGCAGAAAATAAGGGGGGTGGGGTTGGGAAAGCATCCCAGAGAGGGCAGTAGGGACAGCAGCTATCTGGTT